TTGCTCTAGCCATGCTGTTTTTCTCTGTTCACCAAGACTTTGTAGCTCCAAGGCAAAACCAGGGAGCCCTAAGGATTCCCCACCCTGTGTATGTGTGTGTGGGAACTCTCCCTGACCCTGGATTGAGCAGCAGGATCGAGAGTGGGGAGCACAAATGTGCAACAAGCACAGAGGCAGGCAGTGGTCTCACCCATCACTGTCCCATGAGCTGCCCTGTGCCCCAACTGGTCTCACTGGGAGCTCCAGGAGCCTCCCCATACCTCCTGGGACATCTAGTTAGGTCCCCCGAATGTCATCCCACAAACATAAACACCTGTTTGTCCCTGGCTGTTCAAGCACAGGATATCCAGGCCCTTGAAACTTAGACTCTCCCTAGGGAATTAATAGGTCCTCACTGGCCACTCAGGATTCAAGCTGCGTGTCACCTTATTGGGAATACCTTTTCCTATCAAAGCCCTCCAGACAGAACCATCCTATGGCACTGCCTACTTTCTGACACATTTGTGGTTGTCCGGGGTCTTTTGATTTGCTCTGCCAGAAACTGAATGTCAAGAGACACAGATAGCTTGTCTGCTTTGCTTGTTGCGTGTAGGCAACAAAGTGGACACTTGCCCTGTGTCCTGACAGCCAGTGATGAAGGGCTGGGCATCTTGTCCTCCAGCATGATGACCAGTGTGTGTTGCTAAATGGTGCAATGGATGAAACTGGAGGCAGTGGAGCAGAGAGCAAGCCTGGGCCAGAACAGAGGGAGAAGGCAGATCTTGGACCAGGGTTTCAGCTTGTTACTCGTCTGGTACAGCAGTCCTTAAAGCAATCTCTTGGTCGCTTGCATTCTTTCCTAGTGGGGTGCCCAGATATAGAGGTAAGAAGGTAGTTATCCTCAGGGCAGGAATCTCTGGCTCAAGGGAGGCGGCTTTGGCAGTACAGGTCCCTGGTAGCCGGATACTATGAGGCTGTATATGGAGCCCCTAGAGCAGCATGGCTAATGAAGGGCTGAAGAGGGAACAAAGAGAAACTTTCCCAATTATTAATAAGGCCATAGCCCCATCCATCTTAATGAGACAGGGTGAAAAAACCCAGTGGCCAGGCTGCCACTACACAATAGGATACAATGGAGACCTTGCTTTCCTTTTAAAAGCAAGGAATGAAAGACACATAGAAGGGGAAAAGCCATGCAGATTGGGAAACAGTTCCAAGAGTCCACCTCTGTTGCCCCCTATAAAGAATCACCCCACTGTGCAGCCACAGCTGCATGCAAAGGGCAGAGGGCACTGTGGTCCTCTGCTGGCGAGGACATGGAGGAGGGTCAGATGTATAACGGCCCCCACAAGTAGCGGATACTTTGGCATCCCGGCAAAGTCTGTGTCCTGGGGCATAGCACAGCTCAGCATGCGTGGAGATTCTTGTCAGGTGACACAGTACCTGATACATTAAATGGGTCTCAAGAAGATGTGCCCCTTGTTGGACTTTTGAGCTCCTTTTCTCTGCCACCATTACTGCCATCATGTCTACCAATGATTTTCTGACAAAGCTGAGCATAATGGTACATGATAGTAATCCCAGCACCCAGGAGGACTGAGAGTTCTAGGCCAGCCTTGGCTGTATAGTAGGACAAAAGGGGAAGGAAGGAATGAAAGGAGAGGGGAGGGAGAGAGGGAGGGAGGAAAGAAAGAAGGACGATTTTTCGGAACCTGTGTTCTCAGTTCCTCTACTTGTTAGATATAGGGCTTCGGACAAATTGCCTGATGTGTATATCCCTACAGTTTCTTCTTACTTACCACTCCCCTCCCCCCAACTTGCTGAGAAGGTCACATCGGGCTTGCATAGACAGTGGAGATATGTGATACAAGGCAGGAGCCGGGAAGTCTTGGGACAAAATCTGAAGCTCACTTGGGCTTGGGAATAGGTGACTTTGGAGAATGGATCAGCCCTGGCCCTGCACATCATGGCTGAATCAACATCTGGTACGAGTAGAACCTGATCCCGATGAGCTATTGAGTGTTCTTGGAAAGGTGGGGGACTTTTCTCTTCAGAGAATACACACTGATACAAAAGCTCCAGCCAGGGTTTCTTTTACACATCAAGGACCAGCTGGAGCCCCTGCTTCTGTGCCCCTTTGGGGATTTTATCCTCCTTATAGGAGTGCTGGGGGTGGAGGAAGGAGGTGCCATTGTGGTTTGAGGCCTTTTAACAGACCTCAAGGAAGACATTGAGTCAAAGCCACAGAACACAGGTAGACCGTATGGAAAGAAGGAAGCTGATCTCAAACCTGCAGCTTTCCTGGGGATACTCTTGGTAGGCAATATCAACAGCATTTGCTAGGGATGGTGTATGAAGCAGGAGGAACAGTTGGTGACATTAGCTAACACAGGTCTCAGATGTGCCTGGGGTCCCTGGGACCCGGCTTGCGTAGAGAACAAAGCTGGATGCTCACATGCGAGTGCCCTCCAGAGAGACCAAACTGGACCCTAGGGGCTAATGTACTTCTACTTGGGCTTTGGTAGCATTGTGGGAAATGCTCACAAGCCTATCCAGACCCCACCTCCTACACAGACATGCTTCAGACATTCGAGTCACTGAACTTTGCATCTCCTTCTCAGTTCAAGTGACACCCAGATCTCTTAGACTTTTCCCAGGGGGGAATGCCTTTTGACTCTGCAGAAAACCCAGCACTGTCTGTAGCAGTCAAAGCAGGCTTTCCCCATCCTGGGACAGGATCCAGTCTACATGGGAAAGGTGTTGGTATGGCAAGTTCTTACAAGATGAATTCCTATAGTCTGGGAAAACACATCTGCCAGCATGCCCCTGGTATATGACCCTCAGGGTTTCCCTCTTGGCGTGGCCTCGCTATGGCAGGATACCCCTGGGAGCACAGGTGTCATGCGTAGGAGGGACAGAAGGGTGAAGAGAGGGGCCTGAAGTAAGCATGCCAGAAGGGAGTTCACAGGCCTGGTTACCTCAGCAGCTTACTCTGTGACCTCAAGCAAGGTCTATGAATCTAGGAGCCAGTTTCAGCACCCTATGTTTCTCTGTCCAGGTGTAGACCAGGTGGAAGATATCTGGAAGCTTCTTCTTCTCCTCCTTTTTTATTGGGAGAGGTCACTAATGGTTCAATGATTACATGCCCAAGAAGAGTGCAGGAGAGCCAGGAGAGCTGACTGGGATAGTGAGTGGCATGAGAGAAGAGTGTGTGCACTAGCGGGAAAGTGAGCCAGAGAGTGTGAGAGAACACACAACTTGTACCAACCTTGCACATAGTAGGAACTCATTAACTATTTGCTGATTGATTGTTGGCCTAAGAGTTCTCCCTCATTCGCTTCTGTGTGGTCTGGAAGGGAGATGGAGAATATGATCCCACATGCACCATGGAACGGACAATGGGGGCACCTATCCAGAAAATGTGAACCTTAGATCTTTTGCAATAACCACCCAATGTTTAAAATGAAGTAGGATTTTTAAGAAGCTGTGTAATTGGGACTAAGAGCCTCACGTTATTCCCCATACTCTGGGTTGATGCTGTTCTATCAATCTATCCTCTTTTTCAAAAATTAATATTTATTCTCTTACATATTTACAAAAGTAACCTACTGTCATTGCAGAAAAGTGTCCAGAGGCAGTGGACATTTTAGGGGACCCTTCCCCAGCATCTTAGGTGACAGTTTTTTTCTCTTCACTTCTCCCTTTTTTCCTTTCAAGTTTATTTCTGAAAAATTCAAATCACATTACATGTATATGTATAGCGTGTTTTCTCCAAATAACATTCATGAAGTCATTCACATTCATGCATTCCTTTATTCATTCCACAATATTATTTATTGAGTTTTTAGTGTATATGAGCACTGTTCTATGGGACGTAGAAGTAGTTAGCAGTAGCATCCAGCCTTGAGAAGCATTGTGTGTGTGTGTGTGTGTGTGTGTGTGTGTGTGTGTGTGTGTGTGTGTGTGTGTTTTGCAAACCTGTGGTGCCTAAGGAAATCAGAAAATGTGGAAAATAAAGCAAGGAAAAGGGGCAAGGCATGGTGGAGGGGGGAAGGACTCTTGGAGTCAGGATGCCCACGTCTAAGCCCGGAGAGTCTTTTCAAACACACCTTGCTTTCGATGTCAGATCTTTAAGCACTTGGGATGACATTTTCAGGGCCACCAAAAAACCAGGGAGATACTCTTAAAAGTAGTGACATTGATAATGTGATGTCCAGGGGGAAATGTGGGGCTGGGAGCAATGGGATGCTTACTTAGAGTGTATGAATGTATGAGACTGTAGATTCCCAGAGCCTGGGAGGAGGAAAGACTATAAAGGAAGGATGGAGGGAAGGAGGAAGGGAAGATAGATGCTAAGAGCCTAAGACTGTGAGTCCTGGTTTTGTTTATAAGGTGCCACTTGTATCCATGGCAGAAGAGAGAGTCAAGGGACAGTGACCTGTCCTCTCCTCACAGCCACACCAACTTGGTAACCCTCCTGCCTGTTGACCTGTGAGCTATAGGAATTGATTTTCAAAGTTCTACCAGGAGAGCTTTGCTTCTAGTGCTGGCTTTCCTCTGTCCACAATGATCTTTGCCTATGACTGTAATGATCACTAGCATTCGCTTTGGGTTTCCAGTTTTCAAACTGTTTTCAGTTAAGATGGTAAAGGGACCCCAGAGGAAACGTTCTTTTAACATCAAACATCAAGGTTTGCAGGGTCTGAGCCTACCTAGCCTCGTTCCCTCCCGCACTAAGTGCCTGAGACCCAAGAGGGGTGAAGACATTGTCAAAGGGCATATGGTTCCAATAGCTGCAAGCTGAACTCTACACAGCCCAGTGCTCTTCCATGAGGCAGGTACCTTTCGGGCTGATGTGTGGTAGATTCTTTCCTCCTAGTAACCACATTAGGTTTTTTCTAATAAGCCGGGGATAATAATGTCCACTGGTGTCAGATAGCTTGTATTAAAAATATGCTCTGCCTTGCCCATTTTCTGAGGGGCAGCCCCTCCCTGCCTCTAGACCCTAGGTCTCTACCAGTTGGAAGCCTAATGGCCAGTGTCTATCTGGAGTGCAGGATCCAGGAAAGAGCCTGTGTCCTGGTGCCCAGCAGCCAAGACCCATGGAAGCACTGGGTAGGGACTTTGTCTGGCCAGCTCCATTCTGCTCAGAATGGAAGAAAGCTGGTCATTTGGTAAAAATCAGCTCAGTTGTCACCATTGCTCTTAAAGAGACAAAGCTGAATAGTGGGGCCTAATGTATTTTATTATGCATACAGCTCAAAGTGGGTGCTGGGGTGAGGATTGCATTCCTCCAGCTCCCTCCCCCAACTCCTGTTTTCACTCTGCACACCCCCCAGCACTAGAGAGGGGCTGCTCAGCACACAAGAAGAGCCCTGAAAACTGTGGGGAAAGGATGGATACCCATAAAACCATGGAGCAGGGACAAAATGAGATGCTGAGAGTGACTGAGACCCTAACAAGAGAGTCAGGGTTGCATGTAGTGTGTTTCAGCATGGGATGGGATGAAGGCAGGTGGATGCCAGAAGTAGCTGGTAGCTTCTGTGCAACAGGACATATGGCCCCTGTCTGCTCCCTGGCCTCCTTTGCACCTCATTTCTTTTTTTTTAAATAATTTTTTAAAGATTTATTTATTATGCATACAGTGTTCTGCTGGCAAGCCAGAAGAGGGAATCAGATCTCATTATAGATGGCTGTGAGCCACCATGTGGTTGCTGGGACTTGAACTCAGGACCTCTGGAAGAGCTGCCAATGCTCTTAACCTCTGAGCCACCTCTCCAGCCCTGCACCTCATTTCTTAAGGGTGTAGTCACCAGTTATATAGCTGAGCCCACAAACCCCTTCTCTGCAGTCCCTACTCATCAGACACATTGATCTTCCAGG